TCACTCAACTTTACTATCATTGTGTGTAGTTCTCTATTTAGTAGTGGCATTTATATTGTATTTAGTCGGGTTTTTGTTAGGGCTGGTCCTACCATAAGATTAATAAAGTCTGAGCTTTAGATTCTATGTTCAAAGAAGGTCTCAAAATTTTTAGGTGTATAATTAGTCCAAATTAAAAAAATTTGGGGCTCCCAACAAAACCTTATAAAAATCTAAACCTAATTAAAAATAAATTTTAATAGTTTGAGCTTATCAATCCAACCCACAATATTAAAAATTGGGTCTTTCGAAAGCCTTTATACCAAAACATACTTATTTGTCAAAAAATCCTACGTGAAAAATATTTTGTTTTTAAGTCAATCTTATATGGAAAATGTTTGTTTTGTTCTCATGTAAAAAAAAAAAAAAAGTGCTAAGAAATCGGCGAAAATAGTGTGATGACCCAATGTAGAACAATAAAGTGACATTATAATGTGACGGTCCAATGTGATATCTTTGACATAAGGTTTGGACACTACAATTAAACACACACAATCCCTTAAGTTTAGTAAAGTGATATCATAGTGTGACGACCTAGTGTGACATCCTTGACATAAGGATTGGATAGTATAATTAAATACATAGATCCACTTGGTTTTAATAAGAGTGACATCATAGTGTGACAACCCAGTGTGATATCTTTGGCACAAGACTTAGATACTAAGTAAGTGATTGAAAAATAAGATTATAATGTTGTTATAGAAGAAAATTATTGAAAATTTAAGTAAGTGATTAAAAATTAAGATTATAACGTTTTTATAGAGAAAAATTATTGGAAATCTAAGTGATTAAAAAATAACAAAGTCTGTTAATAAAAAATAAAAAATAATAAAAATAAAAACTTCATACCTGATAATATGCTCTCCTGTTTAAGAAATTTGAATGTAAAATTCGTTTAATACAATTGGATTTTGGTGACCAGTTTTTGGAGAATGTGAATTTTGGCTGGTAGTTTTGAGAAATACGGTTGAATTTCGATGAAAGTGAAATTCATCAATGATTGAAAGTAGATAGAAAAAACATTGGTTATTCTATTTAAAATTCAAATGTATTGTTCCATTAATTTAGGAAATTATCAATAAACTGAAACATATCCCAAAAATAAGGAACATTAGCTGGCAACACTATTAATAGAATCCTTTCAAAATTCAAATTAACAATTATCCATTAATTTAAAAAATTATTTATCTTATAAAGCAGAATCAAAAAATAAGGAAATTGTCAAATCTTGCATATATTAACTAAAAGGTAATAACGCACTATGAAAATATGCAAATTCAAAAATTTAAATTTAGTCACCAAACAAATTCTAAAAAGTGGACTTTAAATGCTTAAAAGTTTGAACTATGGACTTTAAGAGGAATAAGTCCTAAAAGGTGTATCCCTTCACAATTTTCCCTTAAAAATATATTAAAATAATTTATTTATTTTTTTAAAAACTAAAGGTTAAAAAAAATTTCCAACTGATTAATCAAAATGCACCACTCATTTGTAACCAGTTCCTCTTGTGCCCAAAACGCAATTTAAAAAATCTCAAACATCTATCTCATCTCTCTCTCTCTCTCTCTCACTCACTCACTCTCTACTAAACATAAATTCACTTTTTTTTTATGATTTTTTTTAATTTCTATTACAAAAAATATATCAAAATATATTTTGGTTTTTTATTAAACTTGAAAAATTAAAATCCGTAGACCAAGATTGTTTAAAATTAAAAGAAATTTTGTAAAATTAAAATTAATAAAATCTTTCCTATGATTGATTATTATAAGAAAAAAATAAGTGGATTAGTGATATTATCAATATAAAAAGATATGGTAGCGAAACTTAAATATAAAAAAAAAAAAAAATTTAATCTAAAAAAAGAACAAATTTTAAATAAAAAATTTCATTTTTAATTGTGGCTTTAAGTCTCAAATCGGGCTCATCTGGTTTGTGTTGATACATTTATTAAGCTGATTTAGTGGTTTCAAATATTTAGTACCTGACCGAATCTGCTATACTTAACCTCAAATCTATCACTGTGTCAATTTTGTATTGGATACTCTCTCATAAGTTATAACAACACATGAAGTAAGGTTTAGGGTACTCTCTCTCTCTCTCTCTATATATATATATATATATATATATATATACACATATATGTGTGTGTGTGTATAATGGTTTATATTGGTTGTGTATTGTGATCTTTTATTTTTTTCAATATTTTCTATTTGTCAATGTTATATTGATTTCATGTGTCATTAATTTTGTCTCTTCAGTAACATATATCAGGAGTACTGAAAGGCATGCTGTTTATCTACCCCACGGCGCACTCATTTTGGTGTATCTAATGCGTCTTGTGAGCCAAGTGAACCCTTCCCTACCTGGCCACCAGGCAACCCTTCTCCATTCTGCTGTTGTCCTATAAAGCTGTTGAACAGCTTATGTACTCCATCATAGAGTGGTCCTCCTCAACTCTATGATCAAAGGCTCCTCTCTCTCTCTCTCTCTCTCTAGTACATGTTTTCATTCTCTACTTTCTGTATACTTCCTCCAAACTTTGCTTTGTAGGTTGGAGCTCTCTCTCTCTCTCTCTGGGCTAAGTGAATTGCTTAGTAACCCTATATAGGTTTAGAGATAAGTACGTGTGAGATCCAAGGGAGGTGAAAATGTAGACATGTAAGTCCTGTCATGCTCTTCCACAGCTTTCTTGAACGTCCTTCATCTATCTCAGTGTATTGATTAGGCCATGGAAGCTCAATAAAGCTGTGGGAGAATATGGCGAATGAGGACTTTTATGAAACGCTAGCTGCATCTATCTTTCACCCAATTCTTATCATCATGTCATGGCGTATATATTGGTATGTAACTCATGTCCACCTTTCTTATGTAAATTTGAACCCTTCTATCTTAATTCGAGTTGATTTCATTCCGATTTGATAGCATAGGATTAAATTTTGTTTATATGTATACTAGCAATGCACGAAGTGTGTTACACGTGAAATTTTTTGTTGAAACATACGATAAAATACATAAAAAAATCTAATTATGTAGTTATATTAGATATTATCTCATATTTATCATACTTAAATTGTTTGTATTTTCTTCAAAACTATAAACATTCAATGGACTTATTTTCTATGATTTTTTCATTCGAGCTATCAAGTAGTAAGATTTATAATGCATTAGTAATTTTTTACTAAATTATTTTGATTGTGAATGAAGAGATAAAATAAATATATCTGTTTTTGGGGATTAGAGATGATATTGTATCAATAGAATTGTCAACGTGTATTACTATTGGGTTTTTGAAAAAAAAGAATAATATTATTTTTATATATCATGTTAAGCACAACATAACCATTCAAAAGTTTTATAAAGATAGATAGGTTTGTATGATATGTTAGAGATTAATTTATTATTTAAATACAAAATAACATGTTAGCATTTTATAAGAATAAAATAGTAAATCAAAATTTTTTTTATGTTAAAGTATTTTTATTAGTAATATAGATATATTAGTACCCATTGATTAAATTCTTGTGTGTGTTCTCATATTTATCACAATAGAGCCTTTATTATATATAGAGGTATTAATGGGTGGATGATGAAAACATTTTCAAGTTTGTTTAGAATGCGAATATAATTGTTTCATTCTTTCCATATTAGTGTGTGGGTATAAAAATAGTGAATTTATTATTTTTATGATCTATAATTTAATGGAGTGAGAATGAAAATTTGTACAAGTGAGAATAGTTTCACCGTTAATCTTTAGCTATTATTATACGAGAGAGAAGTGGGGGATTGATGTATGCAATGGTAATACCTATAGTACCCCTATTCTTCCAATCACTCGTACCTATATTTACGTATAGAGTAATACTAGATAGATTTAAAAAATAGGTTTAAACTAGACTTGATAATTTTAACCATTAAATAGGTAGAGAGTCTCAATAAATACTGATACTTATAATAAAATTAATAATTAAAATTATCAAATCTAATTTTTAAATCTACTTCTTACACCTAACTTCTTATAGTTTATCATCCAAATGGATTGACAGTAACACACAATTTATCTGATAGAAAAGATTCTCAAACACTTTTTCCTTCCTTCACCAATAGTCTTGTTTCTTTCTGTTTCTCACTCTAGCAAGCTTGGCCTTTACCATCATTCTGTGAGGCTTGTCATATTCGCTAGTAGGGTTGCATCTTAGCTGGTATTGAAGTCAGTGAAAGAGGCAGAGAAGCCGATTCTGATTTCTCTCATGCATCCCCACGGATGTCTGTGTACTTTTAGTCCAGAAATCTTTCTTTACGCATGTGTTATCTCTCTCTCCTCTCTCTCTCTGTCTGAGTGAAAAAGAAAAGGTCTCAATCAAGTTGCAGCTGATTTCATACTTGCCCAACGTAAGATGACGTAGTAAGTTGTTAGTACATGCATGTAGTAACGAATGTAATACTTTGACATGGTAATTTTCAAAGCTACTTGTCTCTTCTCTGTGGCCCCTATGGGTGGAAAACGGACAGTACCCAAAAAAAAATAAAAATAAATAATATTACACTTATTAAATTTTCTTATCAAATCTTCATCCTAAATAACACGGTACCATTTTTTAGCATTAGTCAAGGAAAAACGGAACCTAATACGATAGCCACAATATACCAAGCTCAATCTACATGGGTGTAAATCTATGAAAGCATAGCCTTCTAAAAAGCATCCACAATGCCAGTCAAGGGAAAACAGAACCTAATCCCATAACCACAATATACCAATCATACCAAGCTNATAGCCTTCTAAAAAGCATCCACAATGCCAGTCAAGGGAAAACAGAACCTAATCCCATAACCACAATATACCAATCATACCAAGCTCAATCTACATGGGGAGAAATCTATGCAAGTAGAGGCAAGGATTCCCAAGACACAACAACACAGAGCAGAAATTTCCCAACCCAAATGACATGGAGTCCACCGGGTCAGGGTAATCTCAAGATCAACTGTGATGGTGATGGCACCTTCAACACCGGAGGACAGAAAGCTTCAATGGGCAATATCATCAGGAACCATCTGGGGAAAGTGGTGGATGGGAGAGCAAAAAGTATCCCTGGAATTTCAAGTCTATATTCTGAGGCAGCGGCAGTGAGCGAAGCATGCATCATGACAGTTACTCTGCAATTCAAAAATGCCATAATAGAGAACGACAATGCATTTATCATCACATATGGAGCTATTGAGGAAGCCCCCCCTTGGGAAGTTTATGTGTTCGTTAACTCTCACTCACACCCCTAGACAGAACAACAAACCTGCCCATTGGGTGGCAAAAAGTTATCTGCACCATAGTCTTCCCCAAAATTGGGCTTCCACTCCCCCTATTGGATTAGGGAATCTATTAGTTGTTGATTGTATTTCTTTCTCAAATACTTGAATGAATACATTTTCACAATTCAAAAAAAAAAAAAATTATTCAATTTATCAAATTAACATTCGAAGTCAGCTGGTTAACATTAAATTTATTAAATTAACATTAAAATTAACATTCAGTTTCATCCAATTAATATTTAATTCATCAAATTAATATTCAATTCATTAAATTAATATCCAAAATCATCCAATAAATATTCAATCACCAATGTTATTGGGACATAATTTAGAAACATAATTTAGGGACGTAATGTATTGTGATAATTGAATTGATAGTGGAGTGCATTTAATGTTGGGACTCATTGATAATCTAATGTCTACAATCATTATCTTCCCAAATTATGGTCAATATATAGAATGCACGGGAACTACATTTTCAAGTTAGCGACAGAGATTACCTAACCCAAGTAGGTGGTCTAATCCACCTGAAGATTTTTTTAAAGTAAATTTCGATGGAGCTATGTTCGAGGAGAGAAAATGCTCAGGAATTGATGTCAATCAATACATTTACCATCATATTGGTTAGATTTAATATGATTAAGGATAATATTATCATTGTTGTGGTAAGATTTACCAGAACTGTGGATAATTTACCACAATTAAGGGTGTATTTATCACATTTTAGGGTGAGTTTACCACAATTGTGAATAAATTTACAAGTTTAGAGAAGAATTTATGATTTCTTTGATTAACAATATGACTACTTTTGACAAAATTATGAAGATAAATGGTAAATTTACCACATAACTGGGTTAAGTTAAAACCATGATGGATGAGTTTACCATAATTGGGGCAAAATTACAACATCAAAAGGAAAAATCTACTATAATTTAGGGTTAAATTAGAATGGTTGTGGATAAAGTTATTAGTATATATGTCAATTTTACTTTCATTTTATTTAATATTACAATAACCGTGGCTTATAATACAAATTTAAAGGCAAATATATGACATCAGTGAGATACACTAGTGTCGTAGTTACAACAATTATAGTTAAAGGTGACAATTATGCTTTTACCACCATACCGGTTAGATATAATATCATTAAGTACAAAATTACTAGAGTTTTGTAAAAATTCAAATTAAGTTACCCTCTAAACTACTAAATTTGTCTACAATTTTGGTAACATTACCCTTAATAGTGGTATATATACAGTTGGGGTAATTAATCCGCAATTATGATAACTCTTCCTCTAAATGTAGTAATTGGTAACTTCAACCCCTTTTTTGTGTAAATTTGCATTCATCGAGTCGACTGCTGTTATTATAAAATTATCCAAAACTATCATAATTATGACCTAAATAGTAGTAAAATATACCAAAAAACTCGTAACTTTGTCCAGAACTGTGGCATGTTTAACCTAAATTATGGTATATTTACCCATAATTATTGTAACGTTTCCTCGTTTTTTGTAAATTTGACTACAAATTTTTAAATTAACCCACTTTTGTTACAAGTACACCATTTACTTTGCAATTTTGTCCCCTACTATTATAAAATACCCACTGTTGTTGTAATTTTGCCCTTAGTTGTTGATGTTTACTAGTATTTGAGATTATATTATAACACAAAGACTTGTGGACAATGTAAAGAAGAGGCAACTGGTGAAGCCGGTTGCCTTACCTTTACCTTGACACATGACCAAATCTGCAGCCTTCTGTCGCCAATAACTTTTCGATATGGTACCTAAAAACTTGTTGACTATACCGTAGACACAACTCCTAAAAACTAAGGTTATCAATGTGTTTCTTGATTGAACATTTAATGTTTACATTGCAGCAATTTGTCCAAAAAATAGGTAATGTTTACCACGTATTTGTAAGAGAGTCGCTCATGTATAATGAGTTTCACTTAAATTCATGATGTATAATGAGTTTCATTGAGTTGGGATTTCAAGTGTCTACATCAAGCATGATATAGTCATTTCTCTTCCCAACACATGGGGTAGGAGTAGGAGTGCGTATGTCTGACCTTTCTCCCCCGTGATAGGAGTCGATGTTAAGTCACATGTTCAAAATGATGGAGGACAATAGGCCATTTAAAATGCTTGGAGTCTGATGAAGGTCGATACATCAAGAGAATTTGGAGACAGATCCCTGCAATTCACACACCCTCAACTGTTTACCTATCAACAAATCCATTTGGAATCGAACAAAACCTAAAATGCACAAGCAAACATGTAAGCAATAATGTGTTGAAATGCAAGGGGAAGTCTATGACAGTATCCTATCCAAATGACTTTCTTTACATGAGCACAACCATGATGCCGCTATGCACCTGCATGGAAGCAGTATAGATTACACAAGTGCTGGCCAAAGTGGCCAGAAATCGTACAATAAATTACACTGGATACTCCTCTACAAGACGAACCTTGTTCAATATCTCGTCCAATGCTTGCAATGCAAACTTGTAACGATCATGTGATTTCCTCCCTTCTTCCACAACCTGCACGACGCGTTTATACAAATGGTCATATCTGTGAATGGGGTTATCGATATCAATACCATTGCAGCCTTTATGATGTACATAATTGCGATGAATGTCCTTTCTCCATCGTGAAAGAATGTATTGAGATGGAATCTCCTCCACACCATTCTGGTTTAAAATGTTCAGTGCATGCCTGCATAAATAACCCTTGAAGTTGAATAGACCACATACACAAACTACTTCTGCTTCAGATGTATTGAACATAACCTCGTAATCTCTAGTTTCCATCCTGTTTTCCTCAACTTCAGCATGTTCTTTAACCAGGTATGTTATGACTGACCCATCAATACTTTCTTGTCGTGTGCTAAAACAAGAGTACATTCCCTCCACTTCATCCTGGAACTTCTTAAATATATTGGTTGTATACAATTTCCCCAGCTGCAACTCAAAATAAAATCTCGATTTTAACATAGGACTAGAATTCCTGGACTCCAAATCAGCCAATGCTTGTAACTGTAAAATTTTTTGTAGAGCTGGATCATAATTATTGAGGAACTCTTTCAAAGGAGTCTGTTTATGCAAACATCCCCCCAAAAGTGGAGTCACAGCCTCACTTTGTTTGAAGGGAAACATTCCTGCCAAAAATGTATCCTTCAAATAAGCAGGAACCCACCGTTTACGATCTTCATACGATGTCTGAAGCCATATATGATCCCTAATTCCATAACGCTGCATCATATCCTCCCAGGCTAACTCAAACTCATCTGTCCTCAGTGAGTGGTAAACTGCTCTACTCAGTGCCACCATGATCGCTTCACATTCACGCAACCCTCCCAGTTTCTCTGGAACTTTCTTCATGATTTGTGACAAAGATAGACAATGAACGGCTCTAGGGAAAACATCTGCAAGAGCAATTTGCAATGATTTACATTGGTCAGTAATGACAACTTGTGGAGGGCGTCCTAGCATATATGTAAGCCATGCCCTAAACAGCCATGTATATGACTCCACTGCCTCACCTGCAAGCAAACCACAGCCCATGGGAATAGATTGTCCATGGTGATTCACTCCAGAAAATACTACCAGCGGCACTTCATATTTGTCTGTCAAGCATGTGGTGTCAATTGCCACGACATCGCCAAAGTAACCATATGCAACCCTAGATCTTGCCTCAGCCCAAAACAAATTCCGCAAATATCCTTTCTCATTAAGATCCATCACATAAAAGAAGTTTGGATTCATCAACTGCAAATGACCGAAAAAATTATAAATCGCCTGTGCATCCCCTTTTTTAAGCTTCAATTGGTTGGACTGATCAACATTATTCCTGAATTCTCCTTCATCAACATATGAGTTTCCATCATCTTCTGAATCAATAACGACAGTTCGAAACAACCTAATTTTTTGAATTTCTTCAGCACTATCTAATTGCAGTGGTCTCTTGGTTCCAACACCCAAGTTCTTGTGGGATTTATAAAATTTTCCACCTGCTGGACTAATCAAATGGTTGTGTTCAAGCTCAACTTCAATTATTCTCCACCTTTTGTTCTCTACCAGCCTGAACTTAATCATTGCTGGACAGCCAGTTCTGGTTTCTGGTCTTGGCCGGTTCGCTTCACTTTTCTTCTTGAAACCTGCACTGCTGCAACTAAGTTTTCCTCTATACCTTTCTTTACTCTTTCTATACCATGTATTGCTTACTCTGACCCCAAATCCTTGTTCTTTAGCATAACAACTGTAGAAGTAATAAACATCCTCGTAAGATTCAAACTCCATTCCAACAGCTGGAGGCAAGGGGTTTTCTCCTTGTATAACACCAGTTTGGCCAACATATGCTGTCATTGCACAATCTCCTTCAATCTCAAATTCATCGGCCTCTTCATCATATATAGGTTCACCATTGAGTGAAACTTCATCCATCTAGAACAGAAAGAAATAAAAGAAGAGGAGAGAAGAGAACTGGTAACCATTGAGGTCATAAAAATGCATAATTAAAAGCCATGCTAATGACAGAATCAAGCATTTATATGGACATATTTGTAGCTCCAATTCCTTTTCTCCATCAGAAATGTATTCTTAAAGATAATAGGCATTTGAAGCTCAGGTATTTGTAACAAAAAAATATTCGCATAAAAAATAGGTATTAACAGCAGTGGTGTCAAATGGTAATGACTATAATGTAATAGTTTCTACTTGAAAGGATGAAGACAAACGTTTTTTTTTTTTTTTGGTCTGTGACGAAGGCAAAAGATGGAAACAGCCAAATAGGTCATATTTCAGGAGAAGTTTTCAACGAAAATAGTAGAGAAGTACTCTTTTAAGTTATTTCAACCTAACCGTCACCACAACTCAATCAAAGCTGAACTCTTATTTCCAGTCATAGCCTTAAAAGCTCAATGGAAATTGCAATTTGAGACTCTTTTAGGAGGATAAGTTTGCTGAACTATGAGCATTAAAGCTAGAAAGTCACAACAGGATGACCCCCCTTTTAAGAAGTTTTTCCTTGTATCTCAAACAAAAAAAATCCTCTCACAGATTCACCTCTTTTCACTGTGAAAGGCAGTCAACTGAATATGAGTTTTTCATCAAAAGACTCTTTATCGAAACAACCCAGGTTAAGTGTCAAAAAAGGGGGTTAAATGGGAGAAAATATTTTCTTCACTCAAACTTCTATAGGTTCTTCTCCTCACTTCAGACACCTGTGGAATCATTTCAGCTCACAACTCACAAAACGTTTTTGTTCACATGCAACAGAAGCAAGTATCAGTGATCAAAGCCCTATGATACACTTTAGCTGACATAACATTGTCCATATATTGCTGACAAGAGTACAAAAGGAAAAGATCAGTTAAACGTTTATAATAATGCTGATCATTGAATTATGTTCTTTAAGAAGTGTACATTTGTGCATCTTT